CAAGTAGTAGAGCACCTGATTTGTAACCACGAAGTCCTGGGTTAAAATCCCAGCCCCTACACCCACTCCCCCCCACAAAAAAAGTGAACACAGCTGTAGGTCAGAGGTTGTGCCAGGCATACACAATTGTGTCCTTAGTGACTGTGTTCCAAGCAATGGCGAAAGCATATATGGCATACTTCACACTAAACACCTGAATACCTGCTACATTCACACTTCTGTTCATTACTACAAGCAGGCTATTCAAGACTGCTTTTATATTTACTCTTCATGGATCTAAGGAGTTACATGGTTGAATTAATAAAGTCACATTTGGGAGAAAATACATGGCATAAACATTATTTTGGGGGGTTGGGGTGGATTGTTTTTGGCATTTTGTTTTTCTGCAGTGCTGAGGATTGAAGCCATAGTCTCATACCCACAAGGCAACTGCTCTACCACTTAGTGGCATGACCTTCCAGCCCATTAATAACATTTTTTATGAGAATTTCAGCTGAAGGATGAGCCAAACAGTTATCAAGGAATAACAAAATCTTGCAGTCATCATCCAATCAGGCTTCCCAGCAGTGAGCACAAGCTGTTAATACAAATGTTTATGAAACCAATCAGAAAAGATGGCTCTGGTTATCCAGGCATTTTTGTTAGCATAACAGACTGATAGGAAATTCACTCCTTTAAAACAGTGAGGATGCAAGCTTTTGCCTATCACAGCAAATTTACACTTAACACACGCCTTTTGAATTATTATAGTCCAGCATAGTTATTATGTCCTTGGCATCCTTAATTCCTATGGTAGCTGTCTCATCAGATGTAGTCTTTCTGGGGCAAAAACAACAAAACAGTGATGTTTCATCAGTATTATAGACTTGCTGGTATCAGATTTTCATCAGCAATGATGCAGGCAAACTAGTCATTGAAATTCTCTGTGGCTTTATAAATAGCAGATGCCTTATCACCACAATCTTTAAGAAATTAATACTGGGGCTTTTCTTAAATTTATGCAACCAGTCTCTTGAATATTCACAATTCTCAATTTCAGTTCACTGTGACAGATCTTTGTTTTGTCATGATTAGCATACTACTCAGTGGCATGTGTTCACTGTGGTGCTGACAGAGCCATTTTTTCAAAACACAATCAGGATCTTCATCTTTAACTTTATGCAGTGTTTTTCTATTTTTCCTTTACTTCTATTAATCACTTTCAGCAGAGAATTTCAAAAGATTATTTTTCTGCTTCTTTAGAGGTCATGTATGCTAGTCATTCCAACACCATACTCTTCTATACTTAAAACTGCTGTCCAGCTTGAGTCTCTGTGCTACTGATAAACATAAATGCTTCTTCTTTTTCTTATCACTGTTACCCATAAGGGTATATGGAGGGCTTTTTGACACTTTTGGCAATATCTTTATACCAAAGAACAGAGAATAAGCAAAAAATAAGAAATGTGCTTAGGTCTTCGTCCCATGTGGTGCATAATGGTTAGAGCATGGTCGTGTCTGACCTATACGTATGCCACTTTATTATCCTCTGTGAACACAACTGAGTGGGGGAATTGGGAATGCATGGTAAAGATGCACAGCAATTGAAAGAAACCAAAAGAGTCTTTTTGCCCTTGTGGACTCTGAATAAACTATTGTATACCTACGTTGTGTCTATGGCCTACCATAGACACCAATGTCTATGTCTATAGACATTGTCATGTGGCCTACCACGTGACGTCAGGTGTGGAATTTTCCATGTGTGATGTTAGTGAACAATGTTTTAGATTTTGAAGCATTTTGGACTTAGGAATTTTTTTTTCCTTTTCTTTAGGAAACATTTTTCTTTATGGAAGCCTTTCTTTGTACTTGTATCTTCACTTACAAGTTAACTGTAAGAAGATTTCAATATTCACATCCAATTTCTCTTTGTCCCCAAGCCTTTGTTTTCATTTCTTTGCCCAATTTTTTCTGCTGGTTGAACTTATTGAATAGAATAAAAAATTCACTGTGCACTTGACACTACCCTACATGTGGAGATAAAATAAAGATGACCAAATAGGTTCTTTACCGTCACTGGAATTTCTATCAGAGGAAAAAAGATATGCAAAAACTAAGTATAACACAAGAAAGAATCATATAAACACCATTTGTGTTCATTTCTTCAAATTTTTGAAGCAAAATTACAGAATACTTTCCTTTTTATTTTTTTTTTGAAACAGGTCTCACTATGTAGCCCAGCCCAGGTTGACCTATCTCCAGCCCCACAAAGGAAAAGACAAAGAGAAAAATCAAGGTGCAGAATGGGTTTAGTATGCTAAGAGAAAGAAAAATATACAAACACACACAAACTGCTTGTGTATGCAAAAATTATCTCTGGGAAGATATACAAATTGTTAATACAGTAATCTCCAGAAAGGGAATCAGATGGTTGGAGGACACAGGAACAAAGCTTTTCAAGGTACACACTCTCTTCACCTTCTGAATTGTGAACCAGGTAAATTCATTATGTAAACAAACAAATGAAATTTAAGTGTCACTTTAAAATACAGTGTTTTAAGACACTTTTAATTTATACTGCCAAAGAGTTGGCACAAAAACAGTTCTTCAGTGTTAGAAAAAAGTTATTAATCAGATCAGAAACCATACTCTATAATGATTTCTTACATGACTGTTACATTTTATAAAGTAACCCCCCACAAAAGTTATATTTATAAAATACTTTAATGTGAAAACTAACATTCTACAAAAAATCAGTGAAAAGAACATGGAAGCTGGGCACCGTGGCTCACTCCGTAATCCTAGCTACTCAGGAGGCAAAGATCAGGAGGATCATGGTTTGAAGCATCCCAGTCAAATAGTTCACAAGACCCTATCTCCAAAAAACCCATCACAAAAAGGGGTTGGTGGAGTGGCACAAGGTGTAGGCCCTGAGTTCAAACCCTACTACTGCACAAAAAAAAAAAAAGAACATGGAAAACTTAGTCACCAAAGTTATATTTAAGATTGTCATGCTGGTTCTTTACGATTTTTAACTTTCAGGTAAATTATGAAACAAAACATAAATTTCAAATCTGCCATCGTAACTTTGCCTGAGTAGAGTAACCTTTGGTATTTAAGAACCTTGACTTGTATAATGAACAAATATTAAATATATAATCTGCATTTAATGGGTCTGACGTAGTTTAGCAAAAATTTAGGCTAATCACTATTTCAGAACCAGTAACCCACCATTTGCTATTTGCTCTGCCAACTGTCTGCATATTGTACACAAATGACTAGGGGATATGAAAGAATTCTGTTAATAATACATTAGACTAATTATAGACAACAAAGTAATTCTTCAGTATTCTAAAGTAAATTTGGTCACAAGTTTATTACAGATTAGCTAGAATAAAATGTAATTTATCTATGTTTTATCTAGTTTGCAGTGTGTATCACTAGCAAAAAATTAAAGCAACACAAAATAAAACTAGTCATTGCTGAAATGAAATGGTAAATAATAAGATTTGTTGCAGAAAAAAATTACTAAAGACACCTCAGGTTACAAAAATCTGCAAAACTTGTTGGGGAAAAATTATACTTGGTTGAGAAACATAAATCAAAATTGATGATAGCAAAAAAAAAAAAAAATCACTTTACCCAGGCGTCAGTGGCCCACACCTATAATCCTAGCTACTTGTGAAGCAGAGATCAAGATGATTTGCAGTTTGAGACAAATAATTCACTAGAGCCTATCTTGAAAATACCCAAAACAAAAAAAGGCTGGTGAAATGGCTCAAGTAGGGGCGTGCCTATACAGCAACTGTGAGGTCCTAAGTTCAAATTCCACTACGAAAAAAAAAAAAAAATCACTCTAGTTAACAAATCTTTGACAATATTTTGATCTGCCTAAGTTTATCTGCAAAAACCAAACCTGAAAACAGTAATGCACAAAAGAATGGCTAGAATGACCGGGTGCCCGTGGCTCATGCCTGTAATGCTAACTACTTGGGAGGCTGAGATTGGGACAATCATGGTTCACGGCCAGCCCAGGCAAATAGTTCGAGAGATCCTATCTCCAAAGGCTGAAGCAATAGAAAGCCTGCCTTGCAGGTTCAAAGTCCTGAGTTCAAACCCAAGTTCTACCGAAAAAAAAAAAAAGAATGGCTACATTGGCACAAGTTTAATGATGAAAACCTAACATGAACTGATCAGAAAATTAAGTCTTGGACTGATGGAATGGCTCAAGAGGTAGAGTGCCTGTTTAGCAAGTTTGAAGCCCTGAGTTCAATCCCTAGTACCACAAAAATAAAAAACATTAAGTCGTCATTAAAAATTTAAATGGATGACCCTATGAAAATAATTAAAGGAACATAAGCATAAAAACAGAAACCCCTAAAAACTTAAGTTGGCTAAAAATAAGAGGAATTACATCTGAAAAGCATTTTCTCAATGAAAATCTATCAATGTTGACAAAAACTGGATTTAAATGTTTTTTTCTTAAATATAGAGGAAAAACTGTCAAAACTCAAAAGACTAAAAGAGAATCAAAGTTAGAGCCAAAATATTGTATAGCCAAATGGTCACTGGAAGTTGACTGATTTATCTGACTTTTTTCCTCCCAGTTAACTAGAGATTAAACCCAGTCGGGGCCTTGTGCATGTTAGGCAAGCACTCTACCACTGAGCTACAATCCAAGCCTTTTTATATTTTTATTTTGAGACAGGGTCTTGCTATGTAGTCTATAGCGAGTCCAGACTGGCCTTAAACTTGCTACATAGTCCAGGATAGCCTTGAACTTGAGATCTTCCTACCTCAGGCTCCCTAGTAGCTGGGTTACAGGCATGTACCATCATAAATATTACTTTTAAAAAATTCCTGAGGAGGTGAACTTGTTCAAACTACAATATATGTATGCATGGAATTACCACAACAAAATCTCATATTATTGTTTGATAAATCAAAATTTAAAAATTTTTAAAAAGAAAAATTCCTATTAATTAAAAAAAAAAAGAGTAATAGTCTTTTGATTCTCTGAAATAGGTACTAATCCTTATTTCCTATTTCAAACAATGTCCGTATAATGAATCTCAACTTGTAAGTCTCTTAAGGGACTTGTTAAAAATTCTAATTCTGGACCCCATCGCCAGTAATTCTGACATAGTTTCAGTGAAGTATCTGGAATCTGCATGTTTTTAGCATCTTGAAATGCTTTCTTATGTAGCTAACTGAGAATCACACCCTGTTTGAAAGATGAATCTACTATAATACATCCTAGGAAAAAAAGGGAATGAGAAGAGAGGCAGGCAAAAAAGATACAAAGACTGATTACAAACCTTTATATGTTGGAGCAGGTGGTGCTGTTGCCACTTTCCTGACTTTTGCTGTCACTGAGCTATCAGCATTAAAAACCATTACTGGATGGTCAATATGACCCAGATTCTGGCCCCGGCCATTTATTTCTTCTGAGTGTTCCCACTGTTTCCTAATCCGTTCCTTAAGTTTTTCCAGTTTGACATCATGTTGTCGTCGCTTTAAAATATCTAATCTTTGGGAATTACAAGTACTAGTAGAGGATGGAGAAGAGTCAGTTAGCCGTAACACTTTTGGATCAACATCATGGCCCATGTTATTCACAGAAGGCTTTGAATTGTTCTCATTTCCTTTTGCTCTATTAGGCATTTCTTCCTCAGTTCTCACAGGAGCTCCCATTTTAATTAAACATTCAGAACTATGCAATGAATCAATTGCTGGTCGATCATTTAAAAACCTAACAACTGTATCGTTGATGACAGATGATTGAGAGCTTTCAAAATCACAACAATGTAAATTCCGTTCTTCTCGATTGTGTATCATTCGGTTCCCACTCTCCACCTTTTCTTCATTAACATCTATACAATATACATGCTTTGACTCTAAATGGCTGGGACTTAAGTTGGAAGGTGTACCATGGATTTCCCTATAATAAAGAACAAAAAGCTTTGTAACTATAGTTAATAACAAAATTAATGTCAAATACTTGAAAATTGCTAAGAATAGACTTTTAAGTGTTATCACCACAAAAAAATGGTACGTATGTGAGGTAAAGCTTATGGTAAATAACTTGACTTAGCAATTCCACAATGTATACATATATCAAACCATGCTGTATACCATAAATATAAATTATTTTTGCTTATCAATTTAAAAAGCAAATTAACAAAAAAAAAACTTTGTTAAGAATATAAAAACCAGTCACAGAAAGAATTCAAAGATAACAGGAAAGGCAAAAAACAAATACAAACAAAAAATCCCTAGAAATTTCAGTAAGTTAACAGTAAAATAGGTAGGTATAGTGATGCACACCTAAAATCCAAACACCTGGGAAACTAAGCTAAGGCAGGAGGATTTTGAGTTCAAGACCAGTCACTACAAAATAAGGAGACCCTGTCTCAAAAAGAAAAAAAAAAAAAAAGAGGCAAAATAACCATTACTAATATTAAAAACTCAATGTTTATACAGGCAGTCGCCAGTGGCTCATGCCTGTACTCCTAGCTACTTGAGAAGCTGATCCAGAGGATCAAGGTCTGAGGCTAATCCAGGCAAATAGTTCACAAGATCCCCATCTCCAAAATAACCAGAGCAAAATGAACTGGAAGTGTGGCTCAAGCAATAGAGGGCCTGCTTTGCAAGCATGAAGGCCTAAGTTTAAACTTCAGTCCTATCAAGGAAAAAAGAAAAGACTCAATCTCAGTGTCCCTTCTACCCTTCTATAATTTATATGGCAAGTAACCAAAATAACAATCTGCATATTACAAAATAAGAAATATACAAAATATGAAAAAAGATTTCCTTAAAACTACAGAAAAAAGATTATAATCTGATTTTGGTTATTCATTTGATGTTACCAAAATGTGTCATTTATGATATCCTAAATACTAGAAAAAAGTTCTACCTAGTATACCAAATTAGTAAAAAGACAAAGTAGAGGGCCAGTAAATAATTTGCTCCAAAGAAATATGGTTAGTAAAATTAAACCTATCTTAATCACAGAATACTTTTTGGCAGCTTCAAACTGTATAAAGCATATCTAGAAACTCAGGAGTAAGCAAAGATGACAGGCAGAGTCAAAATACATACCACAAAAGTGCATATTCTCTGTTTGTAATAACACTAGCAAAAGTCTTCCTAAAGAGATCTTTTATTTTATATACAATTCTAGTAAGTTTTGTTTTTTGGGTTTTTTTTAAGGAATGTAGCTTATTAAGACGAAGGCTGATAAAGGTAAGTAAGACTTGACTATGAAAAGAACATGAACAAGAAAAAATATCCAACAAGCCAAAATGGACATAATTTGGAGCTACAATATCTGAAACAGTAGCCAGCCAGGGACTGCCATCAGAGACCAAAACTAAATGTAATTATTTTCACTACCTTGACTAGAATGCAACAATTCACTGTTAAAATGATTTAGATCTAAAATTAGCACATGTAGCAAATAAAGAATAAAATAACAGGTTATATTTCATTCTCAATCTCAAAAGAGGAAAGAAAACTGACACAAAAATGTAATTTCACACAGTCTTTCACTCATTAGCTTACTCAACATATGTAAGGATGTTCACTATACAATGTTTTCAGCTTTTCTATAAATTTCAAAATTTTCATAATAAAATATCATGAAAAATACTTATTGGGTATTTGGCACATGCCAAGCATTAAGCTAATATTTTGAGAAGCCAAGATTTATATCTTTACTGGCCAGGCACAGTGGTTCATGCCTATAATCCTAGGGAGGTGGAGATGCGAGGACTGTGGATGGACGTCAACTCATGTAAACAGTTAGCAAGATTCCATCTCAATGGATAAAGCTGAGTGTGATGGTGCGTGTCTGAAGTGTAGTGCACAGTCAAGGCCAGCCTGGGCATAAAAGTGAGACCCTACTGGAAAAATAACTAAAGCAAAAAAGGGCTGGGGGTGTGGTTCAAGTGGTAGAGTATTTGCCTAGCAAGTGCAAGTACGAAACCGTGAGTTTAAATTCCAGTATTGCAAAAAAAAAAAATTCAGGTGACTGATTACAACTACTGAAAACAAAAAACTAAGCTATATGTATGCCTAGCATGCACAAAACAAAAACCCCATGTCCTACAATGCTAATTATTTAGAATGCCTAGTCTGAATTATTAAGAAAGAAAAACTGTCACACTTCCAGAGAATAAATAATTTGTTTATAGGAAACAAATTTATTGCAATGATGGTGACCTGGGGCAAATATTACTATTTCCTCTCCTCCAAATATTTATCTATAAAAAACAATTCAGGGCTTGGGATGCACCCAACCCCTGTTCAGTGGTAGAGTGTTTGCCTAGCATACACAAGGTCTTAGGTTTGATCCCCAATACTGCAAAACTAAATACATACATACATACATACAAAAAAGGATACAATAGTCAGTAATTCATAAAATTAAAGTTTACTTTGTACTATCTTTTATAGAGAATAAAAAAGGCAATACTAGTAAAGTACTATAATACTACTTCATAGCCAAAGTATTATGGAAAAACTCAGAAAATAAATTAGAATCCTACTGTAAATATTTAGGCTAATGCAACTTGCTAACTTCTTTTCATTAATAACTAACCTGTAAGAAACCAAAGGGTCACGAAATTCCACGTGATTGTTTTTCTTCACATTACTCTCCAGGGTGGTAGCTCTAAGAGGACTGCGAGATTTCTCTTTTCGCGATTTAGAAGATTTGGAGGTTGGAGCATTAACCCAAGAATCATCCAGATACCTACCATCTGAAGGAAAAGGAAGAGAACATATGACATAAAACATGACTATCTCTAAATCTGACTAGCACTTAATAAAATAACCTAGGTATATGTTACTTCTACTATCTCTTGTTAGATGTTACATAGGGAGATGGAAGATACTCACAAAAAAGTATTACATTCACTCAACTTATAGAGAATGATTATATCCTGAACACATAAGGCAAAATAAAAACCATACATACAATTCCTTATTAATGGCTCTCACTCAATTAAAAGAGAAGTATCGGATAAAACGCAACAACTCACAGGTTAAAAAAAACAATCACAGTTTAAGAAGAGTATTGACTTGCAGGTTTGAACCCACCAATTAAAAAACCACAGAAACAAATATGTGAAAGGCAGCCAAAGAAAACATTCACACTGTGTCATCTTACAATTGTATTTGTTTGAAAAATGCTCCAATTAAAATTTAAACCCAAACACACATGAATCTTATTACATCACCTAAAATTTCACTTTCAAAGTAACATACCTATGAATTGAAAAAAGGACATACCAGCCGGGTGCCAGTAGCTCATGCTTATAATCCTAGTGACTCAGGAGGCAGAGATCAGGAGAATCATGGTTTGAGGCCATCCTGGGCAAAGAGTTCACAAGACCCTATCTTGAAAATATCCAACACAAAAAATGGTATTTTCTGGCAGAGTGGCTCAAGTGGTAGAATGCCTGCCTAGCAAACATGAGGCACTGAGTTCAAACTCCAGGACTGCCAGGAAAAATAAATGAAGAAACAAAAAATATATATATCATGAACTCAAAAAAAATAAATAAAATTCTCACTACTACTAAATGAAACTCACTGTCAAAGGTAATACAATTGCATTAAAGTCCCTGATCAAAAGATGGAGAAAGCACTATATATAGTCACCTAACCTGAGACTGCTTCATAACTACTCAGTATCAAAGCAAAAAAATTAAATGCTGACAAGGTTCAGTCTCTGACCCAAAAAAAAAGGCAAATATGTGGGACTACCAACAAAATATTAAACTGAAACAAAACATCAAAAATTTATATTTAGTACACTTATAGTTTTGGAAGTCACTTTATACATACCTTTTCTACTTATTTTACGGGTAGCACTTGCAGAAGATTTCTTGACATCCATGACAGAATCAAACACAGCTGTACTTGTAGGAGTTACTTCTAATTTGTTTTCAATGTGTCTCAGCTAAAATGTAAATACCATTATAATACATAAGTTAATTCTGTAAACAATCCAGCTACCATTGGTTTATATGGTTATTTAAAACTATACTGCCCAATATCATTGTCTAAAGTAGAAAAAACTCAGAAATGCTTTCTCGCAATACTAGCTTTTTTTGAAATCACTTATTACTTCAAGCTTTCAGTGTAATGCTGCCCAAATTTGAACAAAAATATCAAAAAGGTCATGACTATTAAAGAGTTTCTATTCATTCTTAACTATTTTTCTTATTGTTGAGTTTTTTAAAGCAGTAAATTATCTGGCATTATATGTGGCATTTCATTATACAACATAGCTTATACATTTTTTTCATGAAAAAATAAGCAAAGGATGAATTAGCTGGACAAAAATGTATGACTATTCAAAGAGCCACAACTTTATTTTGGCAGTACTGGGGTTTGAACTCAAGGCCTTTCACACTAGCTAAGCAGGTGCTCTGCCACTTGAACCATGCTCCCAGTCCTCTTTTGCTTTTTAGGTATTTCTCCAATAAGGTCTTGATTTAATGTCCAGGCAAGCGTGGACTGCGATCCGATTTATGCTTCCCAAGTATCTGAGATGACAGGCATGCACCACCATGCTCAGTTTTATTGACTCAGATGGGGTCTCATTAACTGTTTGCCAGGGCTGGCCTTGAACTTAGAGTCTCCTGATCTTTGGCTCCTGATTACAAGCATGAGCTACCATACCTAGCGAGCCACAACTTTTTTATAGTTTCATGTCTATGAAATACATTTCTCAATAAAGACAAAATTCACAGGATAAAATTCAGATTTCACATATACTTCGCAAAATAAATCAATTTTTGGTATAATCCCATCAGTGTTTTCAGCACTTTAAAAAGCATTTTATCCTGAATAGTAGAGTATTACAGGCTTATAGAATATTTGAGACGAGATTGGGAGCGTTTAGGGTAGTATGGCCATAGACCAGAATATTTGAAAACAGAAAAAAAAATATTAAAAAAAAACTAAACTCATCAAAATTCTACCTTGTAGAAATAAACACTTTGTATAAAACTTTATCTTCATTCAGATTTTTGCAGTGTAATGTACTAAAAAAACTGGAAGACTCCTTTACCTATTAGTATGGATGGATTTCCAAATCAAGCTTTTTCTCCTACTTATGTGTCCCTTATAACCCTTAAAAATTCTTCAAAAACACCTAAGAGTTTGAAAAACAACTATTAACAATTTAGCTAAGAATTCACTAATCCAATTAGGAAATACAGACTACTCCTACATTGTAGATACGTAATACTCACGTAGAGAAGACATATTATACACTGCTTACTCATAGAACCAAAACTTGACTCTCTACTGGGACCAAATCTAAGCTATAGTACCTTTACCAGATTCATCTTCTAAATATTAGAAGACAGAAAAATACCACAAAAATACTCAGAAAATAAAGAAGTAGGTGATCAAATTCAGGTGTTATACAAAAGAAAATATAAAAGGGGCATATGAGAAGAACAATTAACCCAGAAAGCAAATGAAAAGGAGAATGTCTCTTTTTGAAGGGACTATGTGTCACCTTGCCAAAATCCAGACAAGATTGGAAAGAACACAATTTGCCCACACTTGTTCTTCTTCAGTAGTGTGAGGACACAGCCCTTTATTGCCACAAAAAAGAAGAAGCAACTCACAGTCCATTAAAGAAAAAGCTGGCCAGGTGCCAGATTCACACCTATAATCCTAGCTACTCAGGAGGTAGGGAACAGGAGGATCACAGTTCAAAGCCAGTCCCAGGCAAATAGATTGCAAGACCCTACAGCAAAAAAACACATCACAAAAGTGGGCTGGTGGAGTGGCTCAAGTGGTAAGAGCACCTGCCTAGCAAGCATGAGCTCCTGAGTTCAAACCCAAGTGCAGATGGAGGGGGAAAAAAAAAAAGTGCTATAGAAAACATTTTAGGAATTTTATGCAGCCATGAAGAAGAACAAAATGTTATCATTCGCTGGTAAATGGATGGAATTGGAGAACATCATTCTGAGTGAGGTTAGCCTGGCCCAAAAGACCAAAAACCATATGTTCTCCCTCATATGTGGACATTAGATCAAGGGCAAACACAACAAGGGGATTGAACTTTGAGCACATGATAAAAGCGAGAGCACACAAGGGAGGGGTGAGGATAGGTAAGACACCTAAAAAACTAGCTAGCGTTTGTTGCCCTTAACGGGGAGAAACTAAAGCAGATACCTTAAAAGCAACTGAGGCCAATAGGAAAAGGGGAACAGGTACTAGAGAAAAGGTTAGATAAAAAGAATTAACCTAGAAGGTAACACCCACGCACAGGAAATCAATGTGAGTCAATGCCCTGTATAGCTATCCTTATCTCAACCAGCAAAAACCCTTGTTCCTTCCTATTATTGCTTATACTCTCTCTACAACAAAATTAGAAATAAGGGAAAAATAGTTTCTGCTGGGCATTGAGGGGGTGGGGGGAAGAGGGAGGGGGCAGAGTGGGTGGTAAGGGAGGGGGTGGGGGCAGGGGGGAGAAATGACTCAAGCATTGTATGCATATATGAATAATAAAACAATAAAAAATAAAAATAAATAAAAAAAACATTTTAATCTATCAAATAACATATCAATTTGAAAACAAATAAATAAATGGAAGCTAAAACTACTTACAGCAGCCTTGGTCTGAGAAAGTGCATCCCACGTTGCAGTCATATCTGCTGGGAAAAAGTGATAATTACTGAATCAGAATCTCTGAAGTAAATCTAAGAATCTGAATTTTAATAAGCTCAAGTGCAATCAAAAGTTTGAGAACCACTTTATCATGCAGAACTACTCCTCAGCAAGTACTTTATTATATTGAACAAAGTAGGCTTTTTCCCCCAACCACCCCTGTGCAAAGCCAAGCTTTCCAATATAAAGTTTCCAGTTTAATAGACAGGATACTATAAGTTCGTAGGATAGGAGACTGACACCCCATCCACACCTGTTACAGATATCTCCAAAAATAAGCAGTTTCCTCAGTTTACATCAATAGACTGAACAAACAGAAAAACATGGCCCAGCCTAGGCTTAAAGTCACAACCCTCAGGCCTCAAATCCCCAAGTTCTGGGATTATAGACATGAGCCACCATGCCCAGCCAAAACAAGATTTTGTATTGCTTTATATCACATTACAATGTGAAAAAGATTAGAAAATGATTCCAGATTTCAACCTACTAGTAGAAACAAACCTATTTATAGTCTTTCAGATTACAACCCTTCAAATAGTTTAAGATCACATATATCCCATGAGTCAACCTTTCTCCAGAATAAGAATTTTCATTTCTTCCAAACACTCCCTGTATGACTTGATTTCCAGGTCCCTCATAAAAACCAATAATCTTCCTCCAGGTGTAGAACAGTTTGTTGATCTCCCTTTAAAAATATCATACCTACCTAAGTCCTGCATATATATATAAAACCTTGCAATTATCTTTAATACATGATCTAAAAAGGAGTTCAATGTGTCCAAATGTTATCTGTACCTTATAGGTCTATATATTTGAAGTTACATTATACCAATTATTGACATTAAGGTCAGAATTTTGGGGGGAAATGTATAAAACTAATTCTACATATACTGATTTGTTTTTAATAAAAGAGTTTTCTTGCCGGGCGCCGGAGGCTCACACCTATAATCCTAGCTACTCAGGAGGCAGAGATTAGGGGGTTCGAAGCCAGCCAGGCAAATAGTTTGCGAGACCCTATCTCGAAAAACCCTATCACAAAAAATTGGGCTGGTGGAGTGGCTCAAGATGAAGACCCTGAGTTCAAGTCCCAGTACTGCAAAATAAAAAAAGATTTTCCTGGCCAGGCACACTGGCTCAAGCCAGTAATCCTAGCTACTCAGGAGGCAGAGATCAAGAGAATCAAGGTTCAAGGCCAACCCAGGCAAAAGTTCATGAGAACTCCATCTCAACAAATGGCTTAGCACACACCTGTCATCCCAGCTACCCAGGGAAGCACAAATAAGATCAGTAGTCCAGGCCTGCCCAGGCATAAAGCAAGACCCTACTTCAAAAATAACCAATGAGGACTGGCAGAGTGGCTCAAGTGGTAGCACACATGCCTAACAAGCACAAGGCCCTCACTTCAAACCCCACTAAAGCCAAAAAAAAGGTACCTTCAAAAATAACTAACACTTGGGCTGGGAGTGTGTCTCAAAATGGTAGAGTGTCAACCTAGCAAGCATGAGGCCCTGAATTCAACCTCCAGTACCTCCAACTTTTTTTCCCTTTATAAAAGCGATTCCTTTGAAGGTGAGGTGGCCTATATATTCACAATTAAACTTTAAAATTACCCACTTTTTATAAATCACAACATATGTATAATTTTCATTTATCTATTAGCCCAGATGTTCTACAAATCAGATTATGTTTAGTTTTAAAAATACATACCTTGAACAGTATCCTTGCTTTGAGAGTTCCTTGGATTTAGTAAAGGCACCTCTTTTGATTTGCTGCTCCTCATCCTGCCAATTTACCTGCAATCACATCACCATCATTAACTGAACACCAAGATTATAACATTAGTACAAAAAATGTCCTGACTTCTCTTGCCCTTCATCAAGGAAAGGATTCTGTCATCTCTAAAACGCATCTTTATACTCTCGTAAGAGTTTTCATAATCCAGTAATTTCATTTTTCATTAGAAAAATAAATATTAAAAAGTATACTATGACTACCTCATATCTATTTGGATAGCCACTACTTTTAAAATAATGAATAAATAACAAGTACTTAGCAAAGATGTAGAAAAAGTAGAGCCCTTGTACACAGTTGGTGGAAATATATAAAGATACAGTCACTGTGGAAATGGTATGGCCTCAAAAAATTGAAAACAGAATTACCACAAGATCAACAATTCCACTTCTGGGTATATACCCAAAATAAGTGACAGCAGATTCTTGAAGAGATTTGTCTACTCATGTTCATAGCAGCATTATTCACAATTAGATAATGTAGGAGCAACCCAAGTATCCATCAACGAGTAAGAAGATAAGCAAAATGTTATATGTGTGTGTATATGTGTGTATGTAATGAAATATTACTCAGGTTTAATAGGAAAGAAATTCTGATATATGCTATGCTATGAATGAACTTTAAGGACATTATGCGAATTGATATAATCAAGTCACAAAAAGACACTGTATGATTCTACTTTATGTGAGGGACTTAGTCAAATTTGGACAGAAAGTAGAATAGTAGTTGCCAAGGGCTGGGGGAAGAGGGAAACAGAGTTGTTTAAAGGTATAGAATTTTGGTTTTGCACAATTAAGACTTCTGGAGATGGTAGTGATGGCTGAACAATGACATACATGTACTTTAATTAATCTGTACTCTTAAAAATGATTTGAGGTCAGGTACAGTAAGTAGCTCAAGCCTGTAATCCTAGCTACCTAGAGGATGAGATCCAGGAAGGATTCACTACTAAGCTACATCCCCAGCCCAATGACTCACTCTTAACTGATATCAAATGTGGCAGAAATGACAAGACTTCCACAACTAGGCTATAAAAGGCATTATCCTTGCCCACTACCCCAAGGATCTAGCTGCCATGTCATGAAAGCAGTCAAGTCATCCTATGAAGAGGTAGGTCCATGTTACAAAGAACTGAGATGCCTACAGCCTACAACTATATGATGAACTCCCCTGGAAGCAGATCCCATAGCCCAAGTCTTCAAATGAACACAGCCCTATCTGACATACTGAATGCAACTTCATGAAAGACCTTGAACCACAATCACTCAGATAAGATATTCCTGAATTTCTGACCAATAGAAAGTGTGAAATAACAAATGTTTATCATTTAAAGGACAGGAGGTTAAAAATTACACAATGGGCTGGGAGCATGGCTCAAGTGGTAGTACCCCTGTCTAGCAAACCCAAAGCCCAGAGTTCAAATCCAAATACCACAAAAAAAAGAAAAAAAATTACACAATATATAACTAATACAGTATTACATCTCATCTGCTTTATTACAAATAACACTGAAATGAATATAACTGAAATTTGAGTTATGTGGATTGTTTATCTAAAACAGGATCTGCAAAACGTATTTAAACATGTGAAGGACATACTACTCTTAAGATCCAATGTACTGACCCTCATGATGTACAGTCCCTTTCCACAACACTGGAGAAAAAGCTGGGTCTTGAGTCTGTGCCTGCACTTACCTACAACTTCTCAGAGTCCTGTGGACAATGACTGAGGAGATAAACCATGCAGGAAACAATGAACGATTAAAAAAAAAAAAGATCCAATGTCTCTGGCAGAATGCTCAAGCAGTAGAGAGCCTGTTTAGCAATGTGAGGCCATAGTTCATATCCCAGAACCACCAAAAAATAAGTAAGTAGCCAATAAAAAACTACCTTCTAGTTTATAGTAATATAAAAAGGCTTCATTAATACCTTTTAATTTTTATCATTATCTATTATTAATTGCTTTATTAGCATATATTAGTTGTACAAAAGGATTTCATTTTAAGTATTTCCATACATGCATGTAATATACTTTGACCAAATTTACCCTCTATTGCTCTTCTTTATTACCCTCCTCTCCTGTTATAAACAATTTAATGGGTTCCATTATTCTATTTTCAGACATGTATATTAAGCACTTTTACTTTTGCTCATTTAATAGGAAAAAAATGCTGCTTTGATTTGAATTTGGTAGATGCTAGCAGGATTAAAAAACCTGTCCAGATCTTAATCTTGGTTTTTCAATCGGAAATTATCTTTCCTCATCCTTTGCCCACTTAACCTACCAAGGTCTTAATGTTTTCTTAATTAAAAGTGAGTTGTTTCATTTTTTTGGGGGTGGAGGGGGTGGAGGACAGTACCGGGGTTTGAACTCAGGGCCTCATGCTTGCCAAACAGGTGCTCTACCACTTCAGCCATGCCTTCAGCCCTAATTTGATGAGTTTTTCACATTGTAAGTATATTAAACCTTTGACATATCAAAACTATTTTCTCCAATTAGTTGGGAGATTTTGTTGTTTGGTTGGTTTTTGGCAGCACTGAGGTTTGAACTCAGGGTCCCCCCAACTTGCTAGGTAGACTCTCTACCACTTAAGCCACACCCTTCAATTAGTTTACAGAGAAGTACAGTATACGAATATTAAGGATAGCAGTTTAAATTTAAGGAAAAATTTACCTAGTTAAGTCCAAATACATAAAATTTAAAAGTGTATTTAATTTTTAAGGGAGGTAATTTCACCTAATATAAGTAATCCTGATTTGTAAGTTCCCTAGGAAAAAAATTTTAAAAGTTCTAAAAATGAAATTCTTTAGGGTATGGGGATGTAATCAGTGGTGGAGTGCTTGCCTAGAAATGTGAGGCCCTGGTGTGAACTTAAGCATTACTTCCCCCCCGCAAAAAAGCTTCATAGATTAGAATATGGCCTCAAGAAAAGAAAACCTAGGTTTTTTGGTTTTTTTTTTAAATAAGGATGGTAGAAAATCAAAAATCTAAGAGTTTAAAATTTTTCAACCACAAAAACTTACTAAAGCTGCCATACAGATTTAAAAACTGACTCACTGTATTTTCATTCTAATTTACTTGGTCCAGCAAGCAGAAAAAAAATGGTAACTAAAAATCATGGTTGCTTTATATTATTAATCTGTCAATGATTTGACAAGTTTTCTTTGGACAAACATTTCTTTGCTTTAAAATTTGCTAATTACCATTTTTCCAGTGAGAAGGAAAATAGATTAATGAAAACTTTTATCTCCATAACCTTTATGTTTAGGAGCTAGTGCTACCAAGGGTAAGGCATTATAGGTTAGTATATACACGAAAAAATACTTGTTTCAAAATAAATACCCTATTAATGGTCAATCAACTTTTAACACAAATCATTAAATATTAACATGGCATTTATGTAACATTTTGCATTATAAATATAAATTGCATAATAAATATAATATCTATTATGGTATTTTAACTATTAATAGTGAGAATGAACTAATTAAAGCTACATGAAACAATGTAGTTGAATATCACAAACCTGTAAAATAAGAAACACAAGAAACAACAGCACAGGTCATACAATTCTATTATAGAAAGTACAAAACAGGCAAAAGTAATCTATAATGCTCAAAGTGAAAATAATCATCACCTTGCAAGTGGTTGGAAAGGTGAATAGAGAAAGTGAATTTAATTCGGTTCAATCTAGTTGAACTGAATTGATTTGGGTGCTGATTTCATGGGTGTATTCAGCTTCTAAGACTTTATCAGCAAGACTCCAGTGGTTCATGCCTGTAATCCTAGCTAGTCAAGAGGCAGAGGTCAGGAAGATCACAGTTCGAAGCCAACCAGGGCTAACAGTTCACAAGACCCTATATCAAAAGTACCTAAAATAAGGCTGGCAGAGTGGCTGAAGTTGCTTACCTAGCAAGCATGAGGCCTGCGTTCAAAACCCCAGTACCACCAAAAAAAAAAAAAAAAAAGACTTTACTAAGATGTGTTTTTTCAATGTATATTATGTATCAATGAAAACATTTTTTATAACATGAAAGAATTGTATCCTGGCTTAGGTTATAATTACAGCTTTAATCCAGTTCTATAATGTCTAATTTCACGAAGCACCATTATTTTTCAATAAACATTATTTAAAACTTTTATTTATCTATAAGTAAATGTGTATGTATTCTTGGTGTTTGAACTCAGGCCCTTGTACTTGCTAGGCAGGCATTCTATCAGTTGGGCCATACCACCATTCCTTTTTGCTTTACTTTTCTAATAAGGTCTTGCTTCTATACCCAGGCGGGCCTGGACTTCAATCTGCCTATTTAAGCTTTACATGTAACTGGGGTTAACAGATGTGTGTCATCATGTCCATCTTTTATTGGTTGACATGGGTCTCACTGCTTTCCAGAGCTAGTTCTGAACCACAATCCTGCAGATCTCTGTCTCCAGAGTGGCTAGGATTATAGGCATGAGTCACCCTGCCTGGCTCATAAGTAAACATTTTAATGGAATGTATTTAAGTAGATCTGGCCTTCATGTAAGAATATATATCACCATTTTGTAAAAATTGGTGCACACCAGCAATCCCAGCTAAGGCAGGAGGATCACATGAGTTCAAAATCAGCCTGGATTAACAGTGAGTCCCTCCCTCTGCCAAAAAAAAAAAAAAACCCTTTTCCTAGAAAGAAGATAATCTACTGAAAGTCTTACTGTTATTAAAGTATAAATCTCAATTTGCAAAATGCCTTTTTCTATTTACTTTCAAAGTGTTTAAAGTCAAATGAATCAAACTTATTCAAGACCACTTCTTGGGGAATAACCACAAGAAGTTCATATTCCACAGCTATATGAAAAACTTAAAATTATTTATGTATTGAACATTTGTGGGTTCTTTTGACTATTTAAGAATTAAGACAGATGAACAAAACCTACAACTGGCTTTCTGTCCACTTTATATTTCTAAAAGTTAATCTATGAATAACATATTTTACCATTATTTGGTGAATAAATTCCA